TGTCTCTTATACACATCTAGATGTGTATAAGAGACATGTGTGTGTGAGAGAGAGAGAGAGAGAGAGAGAGAGAGAGAGAGAGAGAGAGAGAGAGAGAGAGAGAGAGAGAGAGAGCATGGAACCGGCCTGCACTCTACATTTAATTCTCACCTGCCCTCGGTATGGAAGCGGAAGCCCTACCCTTCCGCCAAAATCCGCGATCACCTCACCGCACTGCAGCAGTCATGTATCATCACAAATGCAGACATGTCAAACTAGGAAGCCGCAGGTCTGCTCCGTGGCCTTGATGCATGGAGGATACAACTAGAAGTGTTTAACCATGTCAAACCAGGAAGCCACAGGTCTGCTCTGTGGCCTTGATGCATGGCTAAGGATCAATAATACGCAGCATGGAGAAAACAACAGGCATTTCACCACAGACATGTCTGTTCTTAAACCAAAAAAATAGCATGCTAGCCTGAACCTTGAACAGGACATGGGGACAGAAAATGTGCCATCTATCTTCCATTTCTGGCTACATTATTGCATTTTCACAAGCTTTTTTTTTTTTTTTTTTTTTTTTTTTTTTTTTAACTACATAAAATTTGGACCATTTCTCGATTTATGCGTGTCATCCTTGCGCAGGGGTCATGCTAATCTTCTCTGTATCGTTCCAATTTTAACGGATGTATTCTCACAAGCTTTCACATTGAGTAGCGTGGACAATACAAATCAAACAGGGAAAGAGGACAGGTGAAATTCAAGGTAAATACAGCAACAACTCAAACACAGAAGTTCCTGCACTTCAACCCCTCACCAGCCCTTGCCAATGGCATCTCATAAAAAGTAACACTATCTACACTGATTTTCAGATGATGTCCCTGAACCCGTCTTCTCTCTCAGGCTTCCAATTGCTCAATCTTGAACCCATCCTATGTTAAGGCTTGCACTTTAGTTCGCTTTTTTTCACTTTAAAGTTTAAATCATCTTGCAAAACCAAGTTCCACCTTTCCTCCTGCAGAATCTGTCCAGTCCCTGAATTCAAAATGAAAACTAAGGCCCTAGTCTAGCTTAGAAGACAGACCTAAGGGCCCTGGACAGTATGTTTGTGGGAACAGCAGGTCACATGAGACCACACCATACAAACTCCATGAGCCACATTCTGGGACTTACCACAGCTGGTCAGCGAGATGTACCAAAACCAAAAAAACTAGTACACAAACCAGCTGGGACGGCGGGGGTGCCCGGCTGCGCGGGTGGCCCAGCCAGGCCAGGCCCAGGTCAACGGCCCAGTTAAGGTCCACAGCAACCCCCACACAAAATAAAAAACTATGTTTCATATCGTGTGTAAAGGTGAAAATCAAACTTTTGGCTGAATGCCATTCTCTTGATGGCTCTTTAAACTCGCTTTTATACCCTTCAGACCCCCTAAGGTGAGCCATAACCAAATTCATAGACAAGGCTGGATTTGGGCACACCTTGCAGAGCACAGAAATGCCCCACCATAAAATAAAAAAATAAAAATAAAAAAAAAACAAACCTGGGCTACCGGAGTGGCCCGGGGTTACTTGCCTGGCCGGGACAAAACTCTTAAAAAAAATAAAAATAAAAATTATAAAAATAAATATTTCTAAAATTTAAAATTTATTTTTTTATTCTACATTTGGTGAAGAATTTCGTTGTGACCCTGAGGCAAAAGGTGTTCAGTTTAGTTTTCTGCATAACATAGTTTTTTTAACTTTTTTTTCTGGATTTTTTGGAGTTCTTTTTCTTTTTCTTTTTTTTTTGCTGGGACCTTCCCTGGTCCTTGCACGGGCTGGGCACCCGGGACCCGGGCGGCCCGGCTGGTAGCCTAGAAACAAACTCATTTTTTGGGCTCGCCTGGGTGACTTTGGCAGGTGGGTTCAGGCTGCCCAACTCATGGTCGCCTGGCTGGGGACTTGGGCCTGGGCAACCCTGGTAGCCTTATACGTGATTGTAAATTTGCTTGTGTGTGGATCTCTTCGGGTGCTTTGGAGAAGTTTGGAATCTCACCAGAATCATAAACTCTGAGACAAGCACTCTTGATGGCATCTCTTGGTCGATGACGCTCACTGTTACTGTTGGAGTTTCAGTGTCTCCATGCTTGACCTTTACAACTGCTTCTGGAATACTGAATGTTATCGCACCCTGTTTGATGCCAATGCACTGGACATGTGAGTGCCATGTCTGACCAGGATAGTATGAGATGGACAGAAGGTACAGAAATCTGCAAAATAGTTAAGGGAAAGAACACTTTGAACATCACAGCACCTAGTACAGGGATAGGAATGCAGTGGTCACAGTCCTCTGGGACCTCCATTAAGGTTGGAATGGTACAGAAGATATTAATATGGCCCTGCACAAGGATAACACACAAAACAATATGAAGGATGTAGCAGTCACCCAAAGAATCAAACCAGAATACCTGTCCAGCATGCCAGAAAACAGAAGGATAATGGTTGATAAGACCACACATAACACTCAGAAGAGTCACAGGTTCCGGTGGCAATGGGTTTTGAACCCAGCGTGGCCCTGAGGTGCAGCTTGCTTTTCATTTTTCGCACCAGAACTTAAGCCTAGGCAGAGATTTTAGTAAATCTGCAGGATGAGGCCTACCCACAGCTTGGTGGTAGTGCAAGAGTTAGGACCCTCATAGAGAAACAAGCAATCTGGAAAGGCCCGCACAGAATCAGTCTGAGATTTATGCTTTTTTCTGAGTATTTCTCCTGCCTGGTCTGATTTGCTGAGAAATCCGTGTTCCTGTGAGATTACTGTTCGTTTGCATGTGTTACTCTGTCCCGGGAAGGGGTAGCTTAGAAATAAGGAAACTGCATGTAGACGACTCAAATTGGATACAGGCCGACTTCCAGAAAGGCCAGGATGGACGGCGGCATAAGTAGAATTTGGCTAGTACCCAATATGGATTTCTCAGAAAGTCTGGTAAGCCAGCAGAGGTCAGGTCGAATTTGGGGGACCCGGTAGTCTTCAAAAAGGTCATGAGTCCTCAGATCCCGTACCTAGATAGCGGAAAGGGTAGATACAGGCCCTGAAGTACAATTGCAGGCTGCAATGATCTTCCCACCAAAAGGCACGAACCTCTGATAGGCCTAGCACACCGGACAGGCAGTGGTACCGTGCCGTGGCCAAAGCAAGGCCCGCGGTCACGTGGCAAGAGTATATCATGCAGGCACACTGAGTGAAGCGGTGTCCACCCGGCAGTCATGCTGTTGCTCCGCCCAGATTGTGAAGGGAGGCGGAACCCTGCGGAGCCGTGGAGCTGACCAGACTATGGGGAAGGGTAAGAAAAGGTTGTAGAGAAGGGGAGAGAGAGGAACCGGCATGACAGACTGACCCTTCGGCTATGGTTGACCTTCATCTTCATTTCCTTGGTTGGCGCTGCATCCAGATTCCAGAAGGCCCCTCTACGGGCACCGGATGATCTTGGACTTCATCCGAGAGTGTGGCTATGGCGGGTTGATATGGGAGAGGCATAGCAGTGTTTGCGTTGTCCTCTGAACGTCCACGATGAGCATGGACGATCCCCCATAGTAGTCGATACAACCGAGAGAAGAGAAGTGAGGATAAGGAGGGTTCTTTGGGTGCTGGCAGTAAGGGGGAATGCTAGGACATGACTCCTGTTCGTTCATTTGTTTTTGTACTTAATTGGTTATTGGAAAAGGAGTAAAGGAGAAGAAGATGAGTGGTAGAAGAAGTAAGGGGTGAAACGGTTTTCACCTTTACGGTAGCAGATGCGGTTCCCAGGGCTCGATCCCTAGACCTCGCCCTCACCCATGTACAGTACCAGTTGACCCGTGTGAGCTTGAACCCACAACCTGTGTCCTGAAAGTCGCCTGTTTGCTTGCTGTAGATAGCATGGTCGTCGGGTCTCGAACAGTAGGTCTGTAGATTAGAAGTCTTAGCAGTGGTAGGGGTCGTGGCTGCCGCAGTCCCGAAGAGTCAAGGTCTTAGCTGCTACAGTCCTGAAAGATCGAGTCTACGGCCTTCCGGGACTTCCGGAAGTGACCTTTCGTAGGTCCTAGAGGGTAGTCCGTAGGCAAGTGGTCAAGTGGGCATTCCAACCTAGTCCAGTCAGTGGTACCCAGTCCCGGTCGCACTTTGTCAGGTCAGCAAGTACCATGTGCGACTGTGTGCACCCCGGGCCCGACGTCCAAGGGCAGACCTTTGACAATCCGAAGTATAAATAAAGAGGCAGCGAGCAGTCATTCATGGATTCTGCCTGTGAGCCACGCGGCAGCGCTGTCGGAGCGTCTTGTCTACGATGGTCTGCAGGTACCCGAAGGAGAAGTGGGCTAAGAGGAGGAAGACGCGGCCATAGCCGCTTGAGTTAGTTAGTAGAGGAGAGAGACGACGTCCATAGCTGCCAAGTCAGCCAGGTTAGAGTGTTAGTGTGTGCATGAGTGTGTGTTTGTGTGTGCGGGACATCCAGGGAGATCCAGGGTGTGTGTGTGCAAACAAGTGGCTGAGAGTGCAGCGATCGGCCATAGCCGATCGAGACAAGTTTGATTCTGAACCGTGTTCTTGGCTTCTTTATCTCTGAGCTTTGTGTGAGCACAAGTCGCCAGCTTGATGGTCATCTGTTTGTACACATGCTGAGTATCGAAGAAGACAAGTCTGATTGCAGGGGGAAGACATTGCTTTTAACTTGTGTCGTTATTCTTCTTTGCAATGACCCGCCAAAACACAGACTGAGAACACTGCTGATTTCTGAGTTCTGCCGCTGGAATGGATGCCTTGCTGAGATTCCCGCATTCTGCTGAGTTTTCTAAGTCTGTGTGTGTGTGCGCTCTTGATGGTCTGCGTGCCTGTCTGAGTGCTGGTCGGCCTGAGTGTGTGTGTGACCCGCAAGGGTACTTGCTTGTTTGGAAGCCCGTAGGGCCGGTACTTACCTGTGACCGAGACATTGAGGGTTGCAGCGGGGGAAAAACACTCAACTGGCGGGGCATGAGGCCCACGGTATTTAGGGCAGCGGGAAAACAATCAAGTAGCAGGTAGGCCGGTACCACACCAAGTAGATGTAGATGTGCTGGGCACTCGAGACCGGGCAGAAGAAGACAAACGTTGGCATTTTTAGAGGCCCAGTAGTTGTAGGCCGCGTGGCCTAGGAAGTCACCGCCCAAGAGGCAAGTAGGCTGCTATATCTCCAGGAGGAGCAAAGTGCTCCTCCTCATTCTTTGGTGTGCATGTTTGGCGACACACTGCTTGGCGCGTTGGCTGGAGGAGCGCTGGCCATTTCAGCGCTGCTAGGAGGAAGGGGACCGGGAGCTCCCACCTCGGCTATGGTGGAGCTCTACCCGTAGCGCCGGTAGGAGGAGGAGGAAGAAGTTGACTAAGGGAGGAGAGTGGCGAGGTACCTACCTGGCTATGGTGGGCACCATCTTCATCACCTTGTTACGCGCTGCATCTGGAAGGCCCCAGTTGGGGTTGCGCCGCACCAAGACGGCTTCAAGGCGGGGTCAGGCATGGTGGCCTGAACAGCAGCGCGCATAGCTGCTTTGTGTTGTCCTTTGCACAGCAGGGCGAGGCCCTAGTAGTCAGCCATAGCCTTGGCCTACATGAAGAGGAAGAAAAAGGGTTGCCATGGCTACGGTGGACCTCATGTTGTGCCTGCAGTAGAAGAGGGATTCGGACATTGATTCTGGTTCGGCCAGTCAACATTATTATTATTATTTATTGTTTGAATATGAGGTGAGGAGAAAAGGAGGAGGAGAGTGGTTGGCGAAGGAGAAGGGAAGTATCATCGGCCTTTGCTGGTGTACATCTTCTTCTTCTTCTTCTATCCCTCTCTCTCTCCTCTCAAGTTCATTCATTTCCTTTCGCAATTGGACGACATTGTGCGTTCTCATGAATGTATACTTCGAAATTGGCCAGGATCGTAACATATTCTTCTTCTTCTTCTTCTTCTTCTTCTTCTTCTTCTTCTTCTTCTATTCTTTTCATTCTATTCCGCTCTCTCTCTCTCCACTGCTTCTTGTGAGCTCAGCGAGTATTGCATTTTCTCACAATTAAGTTTCGCATTATGAGGAGAGATTCGCGCTAGCGCCGCTCCGGTGAGCGCTTCTTCGTAGCGCTAACACACGAAGTCGCGTCGATTCGAATTCCTCGCGCCGGGCGAGACGCGCGCGGGAACACGAGCGCAACTTCTCTAATTCGAATGCGTGACTGGAAAGGCGGGAAATCACGTGACGAGATCAAGCCTCGACTCGCAACGCCTTCGGGCGTGGCTCCCACCATCTCGACAAATGACCATCAACAACGGAGGAGAAACGAGGAAGAAAGGACAGAGGAGAAGAGAAATGATGTAGCTGGGAGAAAAAAGGAGGAACTAAGAAGAAGAAAAGACGAGGCTCAAAGGGGAGGGAAAGAGGAGAAGTGTGGGCAGGCCATGCCTTTCAGGGAAGTAAGGAAAACCATCGAGGATAAAGGAGTGAAGGGTGGCGCAACCAGATATAGGAACAACGGAGAGAGAAGAGAGCAGTAAACACCTCAGGTGAAGGAGCGGGCAAAGAAGGAAAGGACAAACGAGAAGTGAACAGGGAAGAAGGGAAAGAGAAAGAAAAAGAGAGAGTAGGGGACGATCATTTCCACGACATAGAAGCCAGGAAAGAGCGGTGGAAATCAAAACACGCAATGTGTGGAGATTAGAGAAGGTCGAGGAAAGAGGAGAAGCAGCGAAAGGAAGAGGCTAAGAAAGGATAAAGACAAAAAGATAGGCGGTTTCAACGGCGAGAAGGACTTCTCCACGAACAAGTACCAACGAAAGAAAACAAGGTACAAGAAAGGGTGACAGAGAGGTAAGATCATTCCTATGTCACCTCGCTAACGGCAAGGAGTGGATTCAAGGCGCCAATCATTCTTCATAGCGAAAACGACAAAGGAGACTACGCAAGGGATTTTTGAGGAGCGTGCTGCCTTTCCTTTTTCACGTACATCTCACAACCCACTCACACCCTTCCCACCCCC